AGGCTAATTTAATACATATATATTTTACTCATATTATTTCAATAAATTTATAATCTCTTCAAATATTCTGCTCTAGTGTTTGACCAGTGGTTTATGTACCACTACTGAATGATAATACATAGTTGTGTACTAACGAATTTTACCAGTAATTGACCACTTAGACCATCTACCAATTCAATTTTAAAGTTATAAAGGATTTTTTCTGTGATTTTTGTAATAGTTAAATAACATCATCGAAATTTATTTCAAAATGTTACTTAGACAGTGTGCTATAGGTGCACTCATTTGCAAAAATCAATTTTAAATTCTGTCCAATTATCCATATACACTCAATGGATGGCCCCCTATGTTTAATCCATAAAAAATTGTATGGACAATCATTGATAAAGGGTAGGGGAGGGCTGTCATGAAATGAAAAGGATAACAATCCTCTTTAATAAATATTGTGGAGTTTCGAGCAGCCAATCTTCTCCATAGCTAAAAGAAGAAGAATGGTAGAAAAACTTAACCACCTAAGCAATAGACTTGTGTTAGTGCAAGTTAATATATGTTCCACACAAGTCTGCACATTAGTTTTTATATTAATATGGCTTCTCTATAGCTGAATTATCAGATTATAAGTACAAACACTATCTAGTATCCCCAAAATACACAAAACAAAAGTTTTATATGTGCAGAAATAAAGAATTAAGAGAAATAATCAGTTCCGTCTGGTAACCAGTGGTGCAATTGTATATAATTTTTTATATTCACAAAAATATTGCAACTATAAAATTGTTAAAACAGTGACACATACCTAATGTACAGTACTGATGAGCCATTAATAATCCTTCTCCAACCCAAGGGCACAACAATTGTCTGTGTGTTGTCACTCAAAGTAAGTCTTGAAACTTGGTCAACACTTTCAGTAGCTGTGGACACCACAGGTGTTGGTAAGACAGCTAACACAACACCATCTGCAGTCCGCACAAGCTGGGGTGCATTTCCACTGTCACCTTCACTAACAATACTGCGAGTAACACCTACTTGCTGATTTAATATACTTATACTCTGATTCACTATTGATTGATGAGATACACTTTGTTCTAAAAACTGATAGTTCACATAGCTCCTAGACAACTCTCTGTCACTAGAATTTGAACATTCACCACCACTATGTACTGCAACACTTTCACTGAAGTGATTCTGAGCATGCTGTAATGCTACCGGGTGCAAAGATGGCATAGCATCATCAGGATCAATAGTTCCAGAACATCTTTGATATGTAGCAAGTTCACTCGTCTCTATTCTAGACTGAAATGTTTCAACAGGATTCACTATATTCCCTGAATCAAGCTTTGTGTTAAAACTACTTGAATGATCATTCACTTTTATTTCATCAACTTTTAAATTTGGATCTTTCATAAATTGTTGAGATACTGAATAATACTCAGAATGTTGAGGTAAATTATCTGAAGCACTTATTACACCGATTTTACCATCAGTGTCATTGATGGATTTATAGTAAACTGTGTTTGACTGATTTCTCTGCTCAGAACCATCTGGAGTCCGGTATAATGTGTTCCTGGGCAAAGCAACTTGGTGCAAGGTGTCAGGGAGGTAGAGTGAGTCGAGATGTGTAGGCGGAGGTGCGGCGGGCGGCGGCTCAGGGGCCACGGCGGCGGGCTCTAGCTGGCGCGGGTCCGCCACGTACACCAGCACGCGCGGGGCGCCAGGCACGCTTGCTCGCGGCGCGCCCACACTCGCGCCCTTGGTGGACATCGTGCACGCACATCACACGCTGCGTATACCGTCTGCTTACTAGCTGAACGCACCGAAACACGATCCACAGATGGACCGATCGAATATCCACCAGGCATAGCTTTCGATCCTCCTCTCATAGCTCGACGTCCACCCGGCAATCCGGGGTCGTAGCCACATCCTCTTACCTAGTTTTTATGTATTGAAACTATTATATGTCCATTAGTTTTATGGTGACGCAAACATACCCAATTGTAATAACTTTATGGCGGAGCCCTTTTAAGACCCATTGTAAAAGATAAACTACCTGGCTGTAAAAACATTAGCTCGAGGTTAATGTCTTTGACTACTGCTTTGTATTGATAACTATGAAGTCAATTTTGAAATCAAACACTTTAATGATGCACGTCACTCGGCGAAAAATGTTCGCTTCATCTTCACTTGAAACACACAAGACTTCACAAACAACACTGTTTTGTTTGAATTCAGCAAATCAGTTCGAAGCTCATTATATTCATGAACAATAAAGAATAGCAACTTATTAATCTAGCAATATGATGCTTATGAAAGATGAAACACTGCAATTATGAAAACGAATGAAGGAATTATTGCATATTTATGCGAGATATCTATATGATTGAATTCTTTCAAAACCTACACACACACACAATTCGTTTCGAAGTAGGAAAGAAAGAGATGCAGTATGTAGCAATAAAGACTAGGGATGCTCGATATGTCTCAATATCAAATGAAATATCGATATTGGATTCGATAACTTTAATGTCGCTACGCAATTCGCTGCATTTGAGTGTTTGTTCGATCAAATTATTTATAAATCTACGTTCTGCTATTCTTTGTGATGTAATAGAAGTAATAGCAGAAGGTGCAAATCCTATTTTTATATCGTTTTGTAAACATTACATAATATACATACATATATAGTAGCACACCATTTATTATTTTATACCAAACATACATACCAACTTGTGTACCTAAGGGGTCTTTATTTGGTCCTTTATTGTTTGTTATATACATGTCATAAAATCTTGTTTCCTAAACTTAAGATTTTCAGTTTGCCGACGATTTGAAAGTTTTTATAATAGTTGACGGGGTCTCTGACGTATTTTTCTTGCAGGAGGATTTGAATAGATTAGACGATTATTGTCATTTGAACAAACTAGATCTCAATCTCAATAAATGCTTTTTAATCAATTTTATGCGTAAAGTTATAAATTTGTTAAGATAATATGCTTAAATGACAAAAACTAGATAGTAGACTCAGCGTTAGGGATCTTGCAGTTATTCATGACCACAAGTTGTTATTTGACAAACATATGAATTACATCGTCGATAAATCTTTTAAGGCTCTGGGTTTCTTAACTAGATCTTCCAAACCGTTTAAAAAAATAAAAACGCTTAAATTACTGTATTGTGCTAACATTCGAAGTAATCTCGAGTATGCTTCTTAGATTTGGAACCCAGGATATGATTTATATGTTTTTAGCTTGGAAAAAACTCAGAGGAAATTTGTGCGTTTTATTAGCGCCCGTTTTAGGATTCCCATGTCAACCTCAGCGTTACTCACGTTTGCATCTCCTTCCCCTGACATCGTTATTATAGTTAAACTATTTTTAATGAAAAATGCTTAAAAATTGATCAAATATAGTTGAACTTTTTACATACTTGCGATGACACAAATATTTACTAACGCGCGCCAATGCGCAGAACAACGATTAACGCTATTCTTTATTTAAACTATAATTTTCATTTCACAGATTACTACGAAAATTTACAAATTTTACATGCACAATAAATTATTTGAAATGATTTTCCAATCCGAGGGAATGGATTTAACGAATATTATAGATTCTTAATACAAAATGCTTAAAAAATCCACTTGGTCCCTGGCACCCTGAGATGGGATTCGAACCCACGACCTTTCGCAATCCGGGCGACAGCTCTAAGCGCTGAGCTGCCTTCGCTACTGCAGAGCGTATTCTCATCAATAGCATTGTAAATGCGAAATTATCGAATATTATATATTTTTCAAATATATAATGTAATACTCAATCAATAGGCTTGTGTCCTATAAGTTAAATTATACAGGTTTTCGTTATATCTTCAAAAAATATGAACCATTTTAACTCATATATTTTTTTAAAAAACAAATTTTATGTTACTGATTTGGAAAATATTACGCTTTGAAAACTTGCAAAAAGTAGAGAAAATCTACTACAAAAATTTACTAAAATACATAAGGCATTGAAAAATACAAAATGTTACAACTTTCATTATAACAACTATAAACATAAATGCACAAATAACAAAGATATTACAAAAATTATGGTAGGGAGCGTTTTCGGCCAACTAGCAGCAGTTCTACAAACACAGCACCGTATCTCCGAAACTATTAATCGCAGACATGCTGTTACTTCGACATTATTTATTAGATGTTAATAGACGATTAATTTATGAAATAAAAAAAAAGTTGTTAACTAGCCTATTGAAATATCGATTCATAGATATTAATTAATCGCCTTACAATGGTAAAGGATTTAATATATGCACATCACTATCAGATGGTCACAGATAGCGCCATCTTGGGAAGATTTTAAGTATCGTAAACTGTTTTACCGGCCCTAATGTTGCCAGCAACAACCATACAATAACTACCAGCTCAAATCAGGAAAGGTATATAGAAGAGATATCCAGAAGTTTGATCAAAGTTTATGCACACATTTACAAATTATTGTAGTATTTTTTTATGCCTGCCAGACTTACTTTCAAATAACACATGCTACACGAAAAAATCACTTATATTCCGAGTGGTAATTCATATTAAGTATACTTAATAAATAACAAAAAAAAAAATAATATACTTATTGTCTTTTAATAGTAGATTATAATATTGTTGCATAATAAGGGTTTTTTTTTAACACGAGGGTGTTTTATAGTATCACACAAGTGTTTTATATAAGACCAAGTTATGTACAGTCTTGGATTTTTTCCCTTTATATCCTTGTGAGTTTCGTTTCAAAAATGCAATCAACTTGCTATAAAATGCAATCAGCTTGCTATATTTAGTTATGTTAACTTCGTTGTTAATCATAGAGCATTTATTTTTCAGATAACTCTTGAAAGTACGCTATGTTACAGCTGGCGCCATCTAGTTAAGGAAGGAAAGGCACGGGAACGTTCTCCCCGCCTAACTGTTGTCGTCGTGAATTCGCACACATTTGGTCTGTGATCCTACTAAGTCTGTGGTCTGTGATAAAAAGTAATACCTCGCGCATGCTGTGTTTCTTCCTTGCTCTTCTCTTTTGAATGTGTTTACTTTTAATTATTTTAATTTAATAAAAATTATTTAGATACTTGAATCTTTAAACATACATTTCAGCAACAAAAATGAAGCGTAAATTAAGTGATCTAGATGATCAAGAATCAAGGTAGGTTATAATATCATGCTATTACAAAATAACCTTCAGAAGTTTTATTTATAATAGATTAGCCAATTCTAGAATATCGTAAAATATAAATAAGCTTGTGCTTGCTATTAATATTTACAATGAATTTATAGTTTTCTTTTTAGACGTATACTTAAAGTTAGTGTACTTAATATTTTTAGATGACATGTAAATTTTAGAATTATGAAACTTGCACTGCCGGCTGCCTTTTTCATTGAAAAGACATAGATTAAGGATGGGACTTATATGGTTAACATTACTTACACACTTAACACCACATGAAGTAATAAAAATATTTAAGGTCTTAATCTTTGAACACATACTAATAATATTTGGATGGGTCCAAACAATTTCTTAGGCGATTTAGAATATTTTTACTTAAAATTGTTTTAGGTTATCCCAGATACTCTTCAGCAAGTCAAAGGATTTGGTGGAAAAACTGAAACCTTTAGATCATTATGAAAAAAATCAAGATCAAAAACCAGTTTGGATAGATGAAGATGATGAACAATCTGATATTAAAAGTTTTAATTCAAAACTAAATTATACAGAAAAACTAAAACAAAAATATGAGACCTTAGTAGGCACACCTTCTTGGGCAAAGATAAGAAATAATAAAATGAAAACTGATGAATATGGGGATGATGAAGTGTTACGAACAGTTGGCCATATTCACAAAAAAAAATCTGAACAGTTGCCTAAAAATTATCTTGAGGTTAAAACATTGCCAAATATAAATTCAAAAACCCATAATGAAGGTCGAACTATATCATGTATTGAGTTTCATCCCAAGCTAAGTGTAGCTCTTGTTGGTGGTTCTTCTGGAAATATATCATTACTTTCCATAGGAGGCGAAGTGAAGAATACATTACACAGTTTTAAACTAAAAAGATGGGAGGTAACTGCAGCCCAATTTTCTCCCAATGGGTCTGAAGCATATCTGGCTACAAACCATAGTCATAGTTATTGTGTTTATGATCTTGTAAAAGCTAAACCCACACTACATCAATTACCACGGGCACTAAATAGACCAAAGAAATTTCAAATATCACCAGATGGATCTTACATTGCTGCATCAAATGGATTTGACGAGTTATTTTTAATAAGCACAGCATCAAAGGAGCTTTTAAGGTGCCTGAAACAAAATTCGATTATAGAATCATTTACATTTAGTCATAACAGTGAGAAAATTTATTGCTATGGTACACAAGGTGAAATTACAATTTGGGATTTGTTGACATTTAGACCACTTAAAAAATTCTATGATAATGGCTGTGTGAATGCATCTTGCATTACAACCAGTCTATGTGGGCGCCTGTTAGCTGCAGGAAGTCGAGAAGGCATCATAAATATATATGATTCATCAAAACTAGACACCCCACAGCCATGTCCTGTCAAAACAATTACAAATTTGACCACCAAGATTACAAATCTTAAATTCAATGCTACTACAGAAATACTTGCTGCATCATCAGGATTAATTCCGAATGCTGTAAAACTCATTCACATCCCTTCATATCATGTGTTCGCTAACTTTCCAGATCAGTCTGAAAATTTATCACAGATAACAGCAGTTAATTTTTCCCCTAATAGTGGATATATGGCCATAGGAAATGATAAAGGATGTGCCAAATTGTACAGACTGAAATATTATAAAAATTATTAAATGTCATTCAAATATTTGTTTGTAAAATTGGTTTCTTTTCATTCTGCGGTCTAATTGTCTAAAAATAATCTTTCACAAATCTCTTTGGATTTGACATTTGAAAGGCATTCATGAACTTCATGCTACAACTATTTGACATGTGAAAGCAATTGCGATCGCAATTTTTTTTTAAAAGATATTGAATAAACGGTAACTTTCATTTGACGTTAATCAGAATTATATAAGCAAATTGATTGTTACAAATACATTTGAAAGTTATTGGGTAATGTCAAATAAAAGCGTCGAACACTAACTGCAATCTTTTGATATTTTATGTATGCTTTGATTACGTTTTAGAAATTTTTGGTAAGGATATACTTTATATACATTTAAAACCCAATAACGCTCATAATGAGGAAAAGTATTTGAAAAAACGAAAGCACTAAAAAACACCTCAACTAGATGGCGACTCTAGCAAAAGTTGATTTTTGCAGGAAGCAAGTGGACCAAAGACAGAAATTTCTGTTCCTTTTAACTAACATATTAAAAAACTGAAATTTGAAAAGTTCGACACTTAGATATCAATACAAATACGAAAGAATTCAAATAGAATATGAGTTGTTTATTGATATTGAATAATGAAGAAAAGCGGAAGGGTTGTCATGGAGAAATCAAGAACGTACCGTAGTGACATCTAGTTTGATTTCGGGAACTAATGTTTTTGTTTTAAATACTTCCTCATTATTATTCTAGAAAACCTATTTCCTATTAACCCTATAAATATGAAAGTTTCTTTGTTTGGATGTTTGTCGGTCAATCACGCCGAAACTAATGAATGGATTTTGATGAAATTTGGTATACAGTTAAGGATACAGATTTAGTATTAGCTGACTCAATAGGATACTTTTTATCCCACTAAACATTAAACTAAACTAGGGAAATGTTTAGTGGGATGACGCGGGCGAAACCGCTGGCGAAAGCTAGTAATATAATATTTCATAAAATGCGTAATTTTTTAACTACCACAAAATTTGCAAATTTCACTAAGGTGACTTTTAAACGATGTAAATAAATTCCTCCATTATTGGATTACCGATCTTTTTATAAGTGAATTTACTCAGAACTTTGTAATTGTTTTTACATACAACAAAATTTTTTAGTAAATATTTCAAACTTAAAATGAAATGCCAAGTTTATCCAACTTTTCTGACAGATGATGCACAACTTATGGTATGACGAGCTTAGGGATTCAACGATAACGCGTAGGAATCAATATTTATACTCGATACTTACTTGTATCGAATAGTTTTAAAATGCCTCACCATTGTCGTAATTTTTATGGTTTTTCAGAATAGATTTAATACTATTGATAGTCAATAGCTGTAGGCCGTGTTCAAACCAAACTGACTGTAAGCCGCCGAAAGTGAGCGAACGTTACGCAGTTTATTGTATTTTCATACATATTCAGTTTTCCGTTCACATATAACCGACAATACGTTATTACGCTATGCGTGGACGCTGACATTCGGTGGCTGATTAATATAGCACGTCACTACGCTCCGCGGACGGTAATTGGCTACGTAGCTAAACGTCAGCGTATTGGATCCAGCTCGGCCGGCGGACTCCAGTCAAGAATTGCACAGAATAGGAAGCTGACGTGTTTAATTCATTATGTTCGACACAGAAAAATTTATTGCAGAAGTACATATCAAAGAATGTATTTGGAATGTAAATATAAAAGAATACAGTGACAGAAACTTACGTCGATTGGCTTGGGAGGAAATAGCGTCCATTATGTATGAAGATACGTATGGTACAAAGAAAAAAAACGAGACTAGTGAGTAGACTAGTATTTATCAGGGTAACATCTGTATTCCAAATATAAACGATGAAACTGACCAAGATAACATCTCTTTAAATTTAAAGGTTGTACCCAAATTCTCTTATTCCTTTCTTCATCTTCCTCAAGAGCTTCGTGAATGGCCAATATCTTAACGAACATTATTTAGTTAGCACCCCAGTCAGCAGTCTAGAAACACGTACCGAGATATACTGCTTAAATTTCGAATCACTGAGCTCTTTTATGTGAAAAATAGCCGGCCGCTCAGCGTATGCATGCGGTGTGAACGTATACAAGCCGACTAGTTTGTTCACACCATTGACGTAACGTAAGCTATAAGCGTATTGTCAGCATACTGTGAACGAAAAATGTCGTTTATTTTCACGTTTACACTGGGGCTCATAGTAAGCCTGCTCAAATTCGGCGGCTTACAGTCAGTTTGGTTTGAACACGGCTGTACTCTGTATAATGAAGAACGATAAGTATGTCTAAACGTAAAAAGCGATGCATATAGAAAATATTTATTATGTATTTAGTTAGGTATTGTTTCAAAATCTTGTTGGCAGTATACCGCTAGATAGATCTACTGCTTAAAATTAGTAGGGGTTAGTAATGATAAGTCATACAGGGACAGGCACGCTGCGCCTGTGGGTCTTTTTAATATAACCATAGAATTAATAAGTACTACGTACAACTGGAATGCTAACTGCGATCTTTTTGACATATCAAAATGAACCTTAATTATATGTGAATAAAGTGTTTTTTAAATAACCATTATCTACATAGAGAAATGAGCTCAAGTGAGACATCTTTTTCTTGGTGTCTCTGTCGCACAATTACCATGTGAAATATTGTTGATATAAAGGTGGTAAATTCGTGAAAACTGTTTACACAGAACAAAACGTTTTCTATATGAATATTATATTTGGCTTGTTTATAAGTTTACTAATAATATAAATGCAATAGCTTTTAGGTCCAGATAAATCAAAGTTTTTATATTTCACGACATTTCAATATTGTAGGCATGTTTTATTACCTTTACGTTATGCAACACTAGGTAAATTGAAGTATTCACGTGGCACCACAAAAGCAACATGGCGTTTTCTTTTTTGTCATATGGACTTGTTTTTAATGCTCTCTGAATTAAAAAAGTGCTTTAAATAGTATATTGGATTGAAAAATGGTAAACAATATATGTGCTGTGAGTGGGTATGGGAAAGAATCGTACCTGGCTGTGGATTATCTTTTCACAGGTAAGTATGTCATCAGTAGAAACTAGGGTGACTATACTTTACGTATAGAGATGTAAAGTACGTACGTACTATAAGCATAGACCCTATTATTGCCTAATTAAGTACTAAATTTAAAATTGTTGTATCACTTAACACTTTGGTTATTCACTATTTGCAAGTCTACCTACATTAAGCAAGCATGTGGAGGCTCATAAATGGGTATCCTTTAATAATTTTATTGGTCAGTAGGCTTATCGTTTGATCGATCTTTTGCAAATATCTATTTACACACCAAACCAAACCAAATTATTACTATAATAAAAAATATACATTTTAATTTAAATTTCCAGTTTGCCATCGGATTTAGAGTTAAAGAAAAAATGGTTGATGCCTGGGAACTTACATGAAAGCTGTGTGGTTTGTACACTTCATTTCAAACCCAAAGATTACCGAACAGAGGCTCGAAAAAGGCTGAAATCAGAAGTGATTCCTTCAATCTTGCCAAAGGTTCCTACCTAATATTAAAGCACTCATTTATAAACAACATTATATCGAAAATAATAAGTTAAAACAACAATTCATATTGCAACTTATTTTTATGTACCTACCTAATTTCATTACAGATTTTTCCTGATACAAAAAAAAATAATTTGTTAAACGCCTTTAGTTATACGCCTGACTAAAGTCCTTCATGTAAGAAGTTAAAACTTGATATTAATACTAGGCAAAAATCAAAAGAAGAGACATGAAGATGAAGATTAATAATTTAAAGTCACTTTTAGCAGTTTTAAAAGAAAATTGTAAAAATTATGAAAAGGTACAATCTGTCATAACAAACTGTTTCCCAAATATTCATCAGCAATTGAACAAAAATAAATCCAACAAAGGCATGAGATTCTCATAATAAGAATGTCAACTTATGGCAAAGGTCTCACATTCAAGGCCATTGGCACATCTCGCGCTACTTTACGCCATAAATTGCACAAAACAATTTTGTTAAGTAATGTTTAATTTTAAAATGTAAACAATACAGTCATAATAAAATATACTATTTTGATTGCGTTTTATTATTAGGTCTTCCCCCAGTGGGGGGGGGAGGTCTGCCTATGAAATTGCTGATTTCCATAGTTTCAAAATTTATTATTGTTGAGTTGAGATTGAATAAGAATTTTTTCTGCTTCATATTAATATTATTCAATTTCAATAATCAATATTTTCTTTTAATGTCCAATGTATTCAGGTAAGAATGGTTACACTACTTAGAAAGGGACAAACCAAGATTTAGGACCTCTCACTCGGCGCGTGTTTAGACGCACAGTAAGCATTCTAGTTGTACGTAGTACTTATTAATTCTATGAATATAACCTTAACACAGAGTAAACAGACTAATGCACAGAACAATATACTCTACTAGGACTAATGCTCGCGAATTTCTGAAACTCCTCAGTGACTGACCGACCAAGTACCGATACAAACACTTATTTTTCTTACTTCACGATACTATTTACCACTTGGTTCTAAAGTATCGATGATATAAGTAATTGGTATAAATATATCGAGTTATTATTATTATTTAATAATAATGGAAACAAGATATTATTTGATAATGAGTTTAGAAGTAATCATCACCTATCCAGCTGCTGGATCATCTCAAGTCCAAACGTCCTTAACTGTTATATAATCGGATACCTTATAATAAACTTTTTTAATAAGTATTTTTTTATAGTAGATTTAAACTGCATGATATCTAATTGTTGTATTTTGTTTGGGACCTTATTGTAGAAGTGAGTCGAATTGACTTTTTGCAGTCTAGTGAGTGCCTGTCACTAATGTTAATTTATTTTTATTTCTTGTATTAAAATTGTGTACATCACTTTTTATAGAAATCAAACTAATATTTTTACGAACGTACATTAAGTTCTGGTATATGTATTGCGAAGCAACAGTCAATATGTCTATTTCCTTAAATTTCTCCCTTAAAGAGTCCCTAATCCTAAGATCAGTAGTGGCGTTAGGGTAGGGCGGGGTTGGGCGACCGCCCAGGGGCGCCGGACCAAAAGGGGCGCCGCAGGCCGCGGCGCCCTTTTTTCGTCCGGCGCTTCTTTCTGATTCTGTACAATGAGGAAATATTTAAAAAAATGAAAGCACTACAAAAGTACCTCCACTAGACGTCGACTCTAGCAAAAGTTGATTTTTGCAGGAAACGAATGGAACAAAGAC